TTGTAGATATTGAACAAATATATTGCGTCGGGCAGAAAGACCGATTGGGTTGATAGCCTTTTTCTATAGGAAATAAAGATTATTTATATTTATATATTGCGTCGAAATATCAATACATTTCGATTGAGCCAAAAATTTGTTTTTATAACTGCAGGTCTAATAGTTGAACAAGAAGACATGCCATTCAATGAGGATGGAATTTGTCCTGATATTGTGATGAATCCCCATGGTTATCCTTCGAGGATGACAGTGGGAAAACTATTAGAATTATTATCAGGAAAAGCGGGCACTCTTGAAGGTAAGTAAGAATAATGCTAGTGTATGCAATAAATGGTTTTTTTAATCGAATCTGCACACATTTATTAGGCAAATTTCACTATGGAACTGCATTTGGAGGTTCGAAAGTTGAAGATGTAGGCGAAGAACTTGCAAAGCACGGGTACAGTTACCAAGGAAAAGACGTATTTTATTCTGGAATCACTGGCGAACCGCTAGAAGCGTATATATATTCAGGCCCAGTATATTACCAAAAATTGAAGCACATGGTACAAGATAAAATTCATGCTAGGTTTGCCAAAAATAGGTTTTCTTTGTTTTCGAATCTTAAATCATGGATTACAGAGCGCGAGGTCCAAGAGCGGTGCTAACAAGACAACCCACTGAGGGTAGAAGTCGAGATGGTGGCCTGCGTTTTGGTGAAATGGAGAGGGATTGTCTCATTGGTTATGGCGCGAGGTAAGTTTATCTTATGATTTGATAGAAGATAATGCTGTCGTTTGAAAACTTTTGTACAAAGTGAACTAAGACTACGCTATATGATCTCAATAGGAATGACACGCAATTTAAGTCACGCCTTTTAAAGCAAAACTTAAAACGCCCATATCAATAATTTCTAAACGCCTTTATCAATTTTCGCTAATTTTGGAATCATTAACAGTTACTACATAAATTGACGTGCTTTCACGTAAAAATGATGTTTTTTCAACACGTGGAATTATTAACAATTATGCTTGGTTTGTTAATAAATGTTTGTTTTTTGTTACCCTCTGTACAAATAATTTCATTTTTTTCCGCTACCAGCTGATTTTTCTTTGATACTTTTTTAGCTCTTGTAAAACATTCGTTTCAACAAAGTGTCTACAAAAAAGTGTTTACAATACCTTGCACCTCATCATTTTTCTGAAAAAAATATAGAAATTCATTTTGTTTGCAAATATATCTTGTTAGAAACAGTACTTGACTTAACTTAAACAAATTATTTAGTACTTTTTATACACCGATAGTTTTTACTGTTTTTGGTGTTTTTGTTTCTCTAAAAGAATTAATCGTATCAGTTAGAAAGTTGACATGCTGGTAATTATGTGAAGGAAATGAAAATCCTCACGCTAACAGGAAGAAATATTTCCAACATCAATATTAGAGCAGATATAATTGACAATTTTATTAATGGACCAGTTGTAATCCGAAATCGGTTAAATGGAGATAATTCTTCTTGCAAAACACTTTACCTGATGGAAGATCTTGCTTTATAACTTTGTGCCGAAATGGGGTTTATACACGACGGGGCACCACCTCACTTTATGTTAACGTTCGAAGATTTTTAAATGAAACAATATCCTAACAGATGGCAAGTCATAATTTGGCCATCCAGATCACCCGATTTAACGGCGCCAGATTTCCTTCTTGGGACTCTTAACGGTCAACATTTTGAACATTTTCTAATATACCTAATTCAATTAGTTCAGTTATTCAGAATTAATACTTTTACATGTTTTTTTGGTTCTGAATAATTAAGTTAGGAATAATTGGTTCGGAATTGCAAAGTTTTGTAAATAATTATGTGCACAGAAACTATACGCGAGACGAAAATTTTACAAGAGGTAAAAAAATTCTAATCTTCGATTTGCTGACCACACTGTTTTTATAGCGGAAAAAGAAGAAAAACGTTTAGAATTGCTAAATTGTCTTGAAAATATTAGTGCAAAATACGGTCTGGGAGTAAATGATATTAAAACCGAAATGATAGTGGATCGTAAAAATGACAATAAGAGGCAACCTGTAAGGTTGGCAAGAGCGAGGTTGTAGAGCAGTTCACATACCATATGGTTGAACCATATGTGACAGTGAACCTGAGATTCGACGGCTCATCCAGCTGACAAAGTTGTGATACCACGATAGCCCAGCTGGTAAGAACGTTCATGTTTCATGTCTTTTCCTACGGCTGAGAGACATGAGTGATACGTGCTGCTGACAGCAGACGCATCGACGCCTTTGAGATGTGGTGTTGGTGTATGCTTCGTATACCTTGGACGGCTAGAAGCACCAATATATCAATCCTTAATGAAAGCGACTGCCTTGTCTGACACATTGGCAAATTTTAAAAATGTTTGCCCACATGAACAGAAATGATAATATAGAGAAACTAGTTGTTCAGGGAAGAACGACAGGGCGACGTGGGTGCGGACGTTCGCCAACAAGATGGACCCATATGATTTCCAAGCTCACGAACAAGATGCTGGAGACTGTAACACGTTAAACGAACGACGAACAACGCAAGGATGGCGACGTATTGTATGCAGGGTCATCCATAACATTGACGAAGATTAAATCTCATAATCACTACACATTCATCACGTTAGACGAAGATGAAGAACAAAGGTTTCAAAAGAAAATCAGCTAGTGGTGGAAAAAAATTGAAATTCTTTATCCAAGAGGTAACAAAAATACAAATATTTATTTTTCTTATATTTCCACGCATTAAAATAATCTTATATATATAATATTTGGAAAAAAACTACATATATCATTTTGAGAACTTTGACGCTCTGTAGTGGCACTGCTAGATATAGGTAATTTACCCAGATCGTCTAATTTGAGGGTGAGGAGTTTGTAGTTCAGTGATTCCAGAGACACACGTTTGGACCACCCCACATATATATTTTTTGAAGAATAGCGACTGTGTACTATTGATACATTTCATTTCATTTGCAGCATGATGTTAGTCGAGCGTTTGATGGTCTCCAGCGATCAATGTGACGTGGACGTATGTAATAAATGTGGAAGACTCGGGTATTGCGGTTGGTGCAACAGTTGTAAGAGTTCCGGCCAAGTGTCGTCAATTGTCATGCCTTATGCTTGCAAGCTGTTGTTAACTGAGTTACAAGCAATGAATATTTCCCCTCGTCTGACGTTGAGCCATTACTGCCAATAATTTTTCAGTTAAATTAAACTTTTTTCCAAATAAATGTGCATTTTAGTTTTCCCATTTTCGACAGAAATTGATCTTAATACGATGATACGGTGATAAAACTATCCACATGTGATATCCCAGGATATGTCAGGTGAAACAGTTGCTTAACAAAAGGTGATTTTTTGCTGGAGTGAATACGGGTTTAACAAAACAACGGTGCCATCTTCACCGCGACTTTTTCAAAACATTTAATTAATTTGAAACACTATATTTAGAGATATTTTTAGAAAGTTATAGGTTGCGTTAATTTTGTTTGCCAATGTATATTGTAATATAAGAATTGATCCTTGTTTTACCCGCAATTTTAAAAGTCAATAAGTTGAGGTATATTTTAACATGGAAAAAATTAAAGGTCCTATTGAGGAGAGTGGAAAAGCTGAAAGGTGATGGGGAAGATGCCAAGCGATTTCCAAACTGTCTATTTTAGCAAACTTCTTTGAGTGGATTCTTACTTGATAAAAGTGATTATTGTTTATAGCCTACAAATTGCAGATACCTTCAAGTGTAGTTGACAATTTCAAACTGTGAAGGAACGGCGCGTATTTGCGAGTTCAAAAATTCACGCCTGTTGGCTTAAATTATAACTATAAGTTAAGTAGTAAATTGACACTTGTTTTGTTCTAATCAAATTTAACAAGCTTTTAAAGAAATAGAAACAGGTCGAAAAGTGTGTAAGAATGATTTTACGTTATAGATGTCATCAACTCCAATAAATAAAAAATTCTCAACTGTCATTCGACAACTAGTAATTTGACGGTTCGCAGCGCCACAATCGGTAGTTGAACTCGCGAATTCAGTTGATTAGTTTTATAAATGAATAGGTAAACGGTAATAAATGTTGGTATATATACGTTTCATTACAAAAGTTATCTTATGAATGACTTAATGCAACGAACGTGCAGGAAAATAAGCATCTTTGATATCGATTATTTTCATTTATATATTAATGGATAAAGACAAAATAATTGATCAAATAGTAAAAAACTCGTGTTCTCCAAAAAATGAGAATGACCAGCTACCGGTGACACTTATAATTGTGGTTATTTGAACTACCAGAATATTTAAAGTGATCAACATGGCAAGCCACAAAATAAAAATTATTATTTTTAAACTTAAATATATAATTATGTCAAGCGTTTTTGCAATTTCCACTTTAAATTAAAAAAATTGAATAAAGCAATATTTTATTATTTAAAATAATGTTTAATTTTTCTCATAATATCCCTTTTCGATTTAAAAGTAAGTACAACATTTTAAATGTAAAAAACTTATCAAAATCACCTGTTATTGCATTCAAACTATTAAAGTTGTATAATAAATTAAAGCCCTTTATAATAACAGTCAACATTTTAACAATGTATTCCGCGGATGCCACATGTAACAGCCTCTGAGATTTGTTTGAGAGGAGGAAATCTGTCACGCCTAATTTGTCACTCTTGTCACCTGAGCAGATATTTTTTGAATGTTAGGGTTTTGCGCCGCCCGGTTTTGTATGTGATTAATATATTATTTTTTCAAATAGAATTTTCTGAGTAACACTTTTGCAATGTCGTTCAATTTAATTACCACGACGGAGTTTAATAACGTGGCATTTCAGGATTTTGTTTATGGTGATTTAGATAATGATTTTGAAGGTTAGTTCTAGCTAAAAGTTGAAAAACGCTATGTATAGTAAATCTTCAGTATATTAATCAGCTCTATATTTTTCACAGACGAGTCACTCATTGGAGGTCTTCTCTCAGATTCGAAACATATATGGCAAGCTAAGGGACCCTGTTTGGAAGTGCGTAACATTCAAACCACTCACAAACTTGGCTCTTGGAGATTTGGTGCTAACATAATACCAGAATCAAGCATTAAAATAACAGCTGTAGAAGAATTAAAAAGATCTAAGGGCCCACTGCCTTTATTAGTCATTGCTGCGAACTGCTCCGTAAACCAAGGAATAATATCAATTTTTGATATATTCGGCTCTAAAGTTTTAAGAACCGTGCATATTAGGGAGCGAGTAAGTGAATTTTGCTATCTTTAGCCTTTAGCCCTTTTTAACTGTACAAGTGTCGTTAGCTCGATTGACTTGTTTTGTGTACATATTTACGACACCAAACAAATTAAATCAGAAGAACGGCTAAGCAATACAAGAGCAAAATGGTTAAATAATACATTTCGATTTGAACATTTTCAATGCCCATATTTTCAGGCTTATACGGTTTCAAATCTGTAGTCATTATTTAATTTTATTTTCAGTTCAGTTAATCTTGTTCAATATTAGTCTCCGTCTAAGAGTTTTAATTTTATAAAATGTTGTAAAAAATTTCAGTTTACTTCTTTCCACGTAAGCTTCTAGTTTCTTCGTTTTACCATTATAATTCTGTGTAAGTTTAATTTTTATTTCAATTTACTCTACCGTCAAGTTTGTTTGCATCTTAGAGGGGTTTTTGATGTTGTTAAGCAATTTGTTTTGGTCGCTTATAGTTCATAGGACTCAGGGAGTCTCCCTGACGAATACCGTTACCCGCTGGTATTCGTTCTGTGAGGTCTCCTTCTATTTGTGCTTGTGCTCGAAAGAGCATGAGAGGGTGTTGCGATGGCAATCAGCACGAAATAGCAAATTGTATAAAGGAATGCAACTACATCAGCGCACGAATTATAGCTGTAACACTAAAGTCAGACGACCAAACAATAAATGAACTATCAATATATACACCAGAAGACAACATACCGCAATTCATTTTTATTTTTTTTATTGACCCCATGGGAACTATACAATCGGTTCTACAGAACGATAAGTAGTCTTTGTGACTTAAAAGTAATGAGACATGTAGAGATGATTCTCCAGCAAAAATCTATCTTTCTTAATTATCCGCAACTCCTGAGAGACTCGTTTTTTGATCAACTCCAAACCACAATTGACTTACTACCAAGTGATCAACCCATGATAGTGCTTGGGGACTCTAATGCACGAGTTGGAAACGAAAAAGTCTTGTATGTACTTACAATGAATTACGTATCAATAATACGTTTTTCGACCGAGTATAAATAAATTTACATTTGAAAATAACAGAAGCCATACATCGACAATCGATTGCATTGGGACTAATAGGCAATTTCACCCAACTCAAATACTCGAAATTCTTGAAGCTGTTTAATTCAATTATTCTCGCTATGTCCACATTTTTTTTCTTGGTCTGTTGAATTACCGTTTTTAAGCTGCAAGATATCTATCAGCAGTTTACACGTACAGTGAAGAATGTACAATACCTTTTTCTTTCGTCTAAAATAATTCCAGAACATTGCTTAGTGTTGGATTGGTCGTCTGACTGTATATTTCAACCAGTAAAAGGTTTTTAATTTTAATTTTTAATTTCTATTGCGTTTATTGTTAGTTTGTTTCTCGTGTTGCAATTTTAATTGTATGACTACTTCACCAGTATCGGGCAAGGACCGTTCGTCACTCTTGGGGCTTGTGGTTGGACCAGTAAGTTTCCATCTTTTTATTTAATTCATTTGCACGACATTTCCCGGAACGCCAACTGTTACTTTTCTGTTTTCCAGCAACCCTGATAATGATATTCAAGGGTCAAATTACATCATTTACCCTTGATTAAAATACACTTTAGTACAAGACAAATCTCTTTTGATTGGGAATTTCTTCAGTGTGTACTCACCGGCTTCCTCCCTTTATAAGTTATTAATTAACTTTTATTGTAGAGAATGCCAAATTCACATTTTTTGCGATTGCTCGTATACAACTGGAACAAATATTAATAAATTAGTTTTTATGGCTGAAATTGAAGTATGCCATTTTGAGGAGATCCGATAATGGTCCAATCTTCTAGATTTGATTCAAGCAGAGTGTTGATCCCATCATGGCTTGTGCAAGAAACAAATATTGTGTGAAAGGATAATTGGGATATTTTATTGAAACACTACTAAATTTCTTTCGAATTATTATACCGCATCATCCAATCTTCAATAGTCCCGATATTTTTTTAATGTTCGCAAATGCCACTAGCAAACCAATTAGAAAATAGGATTCTATGGTGAGATCCATGGTGCGCATGAATCATTATTATTATTATTATTCACACACTGACCGTCAGCTGACTGTTTTGACAACATTTTCAAAGCGGTTTTTCTAAAACCTTATACTTTCGGTTGAAGGAAAATAGTATAACGGTACGTCAGACGAAAGTCGAAGTTCCACTACTGCTTGAAGTTGCCGCCTGAGGCGAAGCCGAGCTCGTATGCACGCGTCTCTTGTACCGTAAAACACTATTGCTTACTGACTGTCTATTTGTGGAAATCTACTTATGGAAAAACTAATCTTTAAAATGTCACTGATCTGGTAAAACAACTATTGGTTTTTGTTCTGTATTAATGCGTGTAATGTTGACTGTCGGCATTAAATTTTTTTTTGGAACATTAAATTGTACACCAAAAGTTTTTGAACATTCAGCGTTTTCTTGATCGTAAAAATTAATGTGCTTGTGCTTATAAGCATTTTTTGCGTTAACGCTTATCGGTTATATTAACTATCCATAACCATGTAAACTTATAATGTAGTTTTATTGAGCTAACTATTTCTGCTTGTGTTCTAGGTAAGTACTTACATGATTGAGAACATTTTCTTACTTTCTCCTTAGACAACGTTCTTTACGAATTAATGATAAAATTTATAAATTTGTTTGATATTATTTGATTATTAAAAATATGTCATGAGCGGTAGATTTGATGAATGGTAAATTACAAATTTTAAATGTGCAATAATGGTAACCATTAAATGGTGTATAAAAGGTAAAATCTCTAATTTCGAAAATATCCACACCTCAAAAGTTTTAGTAATTTCAGATTATTTTTTTACCTAAAATGCATAATTGTTTTCACACTATTTTTAGATAACAAGTCTTCATGTCATCGAATCAGATGGTGATAAATCTGCAGTTCTTGATTCAAGCCCTCTGAAATATTTCGATGGAATTGTTGCAGTTGGTACGCACGGTGGCAATGTATTGTTATTAGATATTTGTAAAGAAGTTTGTGAAAGTGGTATGTCTTGAAAATCATTCCAAATGAGCTTTATAAACTGACTTATATATTGTAATAGTTATTGAAAACATGGATGCCACTGTGCGCGACGAACTAAACCCGTGCCCAATGGTTATTCTAAGGAAGGATACAGCCGGTGACATTAAAAAATATGTGGAAAGATCTGTTGAACGCGAAGAACATCTCGCTTTACATTTAAATGGTATTTTTGCTAAGTAAACAATCCAAAAAGTTTTTAACGAAACAATTTTTTACAGTTGTTGCGGATAATTTTACAGAACATTTCATCTTGAAAGGTGAAAGCGGCGATGATCGAGTACATGTTGATCGAACTGAGTTAGAAGTTAGCTCACTGTTCTATTCAGCACGCATGGCTTCATTATTGATTGGTTATAATTTTGGAGCTTTTCAAGCTTGGAATCTGAGGTAAACATTACTAGCTGGATTTAATATTTTTTACACGATTTCAAAATTGTAATATTGACGGCAAGTGCAAATAGTAAATGATTGTTTTGGACTTTCTGTATTCTGCAGATCATTAAATCTAATATACACATCTCCAATATGTGACGAAAATATTCCAATTACACACTTTACCACCCAAGAACCAGCGGATGATCCTAAAGCCTATTGTTATATATGGGTTTCCTATAGCCACAATCACCTATTTCGCTCAGGATTGCCGTTTGCTGTGATGTATGCATTTTTTTTTGACCGGAAAATATTTTTAAATGGTTACGGCAACATATATGAGGTAAGAAAACAACGACAAAAGTTTCTTGAATTCTTGACAGTTTTGTTTTTAGAATTTTCAAAATTGTTCAATCAGATTTCAACTTGAGTTGGGAGACACTCAATCTTCAACATGTAGTTCCCCGGTTAAAGGGGGTCTTTGCTTGGGCTTCCAATCTCTCAACAAGTGTATTTCAAATAAAGATCAAAGTTCTGTAGCCTTGTGCTTCATTTCTTGGCTTTTTTGGGATGCAAGTGAAGAAGTTAATACCGCTTTTTTATTATTTGACTTGAACCAGTGGTACAAGGAACAAATGCCTAGTATGTATTTTGACTGACAATAAATATGATTAAATGTTTTAAAACATTGTCGTTCTGTTTTAGGTATGCCACATTGGTCTCACTGCTCCAACTATCTGATTAGAAATAGTGTTGGCGAACTATTGTTTGACATAAAAATTGATCATAAGTCTCTGGTTCAATTTATGGGGTTGCAGCGGTTGGAACAGCATTTTTGCCCTACGGCATTATCATTTGGTAAGTTGTAAAGAAATCTGAACTATTTAACTGTGAACATGCAGGCTGGAGATATATGATCTGTACGATATCTTGATAGATATTGAAAAAAAAACGCACGTCAACCTTGACTTATATGAGGACATTTTCATTATAAGACGCCATACAGGGTATTTTATTAACAATATAGTACCACAGGTTTTTCTTTTTAGATAATAATCTACAAGTTTGTTATAATTGTTTATTTTGTACAAATAATTACTTAATTGTTTGATTACACAGCCACACAACAATTTTTTTTTTGATCTGGGGTTGAGACACTTTGACCTGCTGAATCCAAATCCGCGGTCAGTTTTACTCTATCAGGTCAGGATTAAGGTCTAATTGCGAAATAACCATTTAGGCGGAAAAAATCTATACATCTGTACGATTTGTTCAAAAGAGACGTTAAAGCGAGGTAAATCAACATCCATGTCTTATAAACATAGCGACATAAATAACATAACATAAACTTATGTATAACGATAAATGGGCGATTCTTAGGTGTCTGCATCATTTATACGTAATGGTTGGTACAAAGTCCGCCACAATAGTAAAGGAATGAGGTTGGCGAGCCTGTCAGACTGTCAAAATTATCTCAATTTTGATTGGTCACACAATGCGGCAACAATGTTTGCGGGGACTGCGTGCTCACTGGCATTGCCTATCACTCAAGAATACTACTTTTTTCCGCGGGGGATGGTGAGCCAGGAGAGACGAAAAAAAAATAAACAAATAAAATAATAAAAAATAATTGAGAGGGATACCCCTTCTCGCAATGTCAAGAATAGACACACAGGACGGCTCTTTGAAAGATGGCGAGATAGCTGGCACTTTACGTCACAAATACGGACTGACAAAATAAGGAAATGAACAGGCCCAAGCCCTAATACATGAAAAAGCAGAGTTTAGACATACCGAAAAATAACACAAAACGTTTGACTTAAACTCGAGGGTCTGACGTAGTATCTTGTATACGAAACACTCTGTATAACAAAGTTTTAGAGAACAATATTTCCACATTGGTACTTGATAAATATTTTATCTTACTGTACATATTTTCCTAATTTGATTATTTTCACTTAAGTTTGTTTTGTTGAACGTTGTTATTCAAATGAAACGTTTAAGAGAATAGCCCTGCTGATGAGTGGAAATCGCTTGGTTTGTTCAATACTTTCAATTATTCGCATTTTCGATTTCTTCAATTTATTTATTCAATGCGCTCTATCATTCTACCCTGATTAAACTTGATTAACTGCAACTTATATGCAAGGAACGCTAATATTTCTGAATGTACAACTCTATTAAATGTTTTTTTGCTGAGAAATGTTGCAATATAATTGATTAGTCCCAACTATGGTACAAATGGCTTGTTTTATATTTTGAATGACAGTAAAAAAATGTTCATAAAATGAGAGTTTGGTTTCGTGGATGGTGGAAAATGAGAGTTTGGATTTAATGTGGTCTAATCAACAGCAATTTTAATATTTTTAGATCTTCAGGGTATAACAAAAAATGCCATACTTAAATTCCACAACAAATCAATGCAGAGGCTATTTTTGGACAAAATCGCAGATAGTCAGCATTTGGCTTTGCTGAGGCCAGATCATTTTTCCGATCAAATCTTCACTTTAGGCCTTACACCACTATTTTCCGATTATCCAACGCTTAATTCATCGCTTCAACTTGTAAGATGCCGTATACATGTTACTTACAAATCTGTTAATAATATTTTTTTAGGACGACCAACGAGAATTTCTGCTGAGTGTGGCATTAGAGCAAAGGCTTGTCGGCTGGTTATGCCAGGCGGCAACTAAACTGGCTAATAATGCCTTTAGTTCTTCAGGTTTAACCATCTATAATATTCTAAATTGGGCGTTCCATCGTGCGATTGTTTTGAAAAATTCTTTAGATCAATACTGCGTACCATTATTTGATTACTCTGGAACCAGATTGGACGATAATACTCTAACAATGTTATTGGCTGGGACCAATCAAATGAGGAATCTGTGCAGCCTCTATCGATATGTCTCTAATAAACTCATCCAATTTGTTGCTGATGGAAAGCAACTTTTAGAAGAACAGAGATCTCTCGAACATTTGGTAACTTATTTTGAGGTAAGCAAACATCGTGAATGGTTTAGTATTATAGCTTAAAAGTTCTATTAAGCCAAATTCATGTAAATTCGCTAATAGTAGTATTAGCTAAGTCATTTAGATATCGGTTCTATACACCACGATATTTCATTTCCGGGTCCTCCAAGCACATGTTTTGAATTTCAAATAAAATTTTCCTAAATACAGGGTGTAATACGGGGTATTCCGGTTATACCGGAAGTGCGTATCAACTTGCTTATTTTAAATGGAACACCCTATATATTGTAACGGAAATGGCTCGGGGTACTCACGTTTGAAATGGAGGGATCAAAGTTCGTGGTATTTCAGTAAATGGGAGCCCCATTTGCGCCCCATTTACTGACAAATATGACACTGACAAGCGGAAAGTTTCGCACCTGTTCTGGATATGTCGAGAACCATCTGGGTTACCTGAAGGAATCTATATAAGCGGCGAGGAGAACAAGACAGAAAAGTGAAGTGACAGGAGCGACCAGGTGCAGAAGAGGTGGAAACGCCGCGAGTCGGAAACGCGTGTTTTCCGTGTGTTATTGTTATCGTTTGTGAAGTTGACGGTAATTTAGAAGTTAGTTTGTTCCTGTTCCGCATTTAAAGTTATACCGAGGTGAATAAAAGTTGGAAGCTGAAGAAAGAGTTTGATACTCGGCCATCCACGGTACAATATTTTACATTTTTGAATTATACCCCAAATTCTAAATGTATTTCATGTATAATATCTTCTAACCGTCTAACCGTTTTTGAGATATTTGAAATTTTATGTAAAAAATTACAGTTGCAGCCACGCGAATAATTATTCGTTTTTCCTATAAGGGAATTTGTCATACTTAATTTGAGTAGCATTTATTGTTGAAATTGACTTACGTTAATAGAATTTCGAAAACATTTTGAAAACTATTAATACAAAGTGTTAAAAAAATAAGCTTCAAAATACAGTTGAGAAAGCCGCCCAAAATCAATTTTTGGTTTTATGGAAATATTATTTAAACATTTATTAGTTATGGAGAATGTGATAAAGTTTTTTTAACACTTTGTATTAATAGTTTTCAAAATGTTTTCGAAATTCCATTAAAGTAAGTAATATAATTCAATAATCAAAACCCTATCCCTATTTTTCCAAAATTATTTTTAACGCATATCAAAATAGTTGTATTATTTACTTGTGCTATTTACTAACCCTAAAATTGATTTTCTCAGGTTGTTCTCTGGATGACAAACGTAGGACTTTTACCAGAATGCCAACCACGCAGTGGAATCCTATTCAATTTGGTGAGCGCCCCTTACCTAATTGACGATTTAAGAGAATACTACAATAATAAGAGAGAACAATTGCAATTAGCCAGCAAGGAAACTTTCGTGGAAAAGGACTGTTTGCTTTTTATTGACAACATGATTAATAATCAGAGTAGGTAGTCAAAATTAGATGCTTGAAGCCTTTACTATAAACTTCTTTGGTTTAAGCTGAAGGCGAGTTAATAAGGCAACAGTGGCAAGAAGATGGTGGGACTGGTTTATATCCACCTCCATCATTGCAATCAGTTCTGCGAATATATCTTTTGGATGGTATCGATGTGACATTTAAACATTCTTTTGTTACCTATACGCTGCTCGATATCGCAATGACGGTAGATGAACATAACAAAGTAAGCGAAGAATCCCTTCATGTCCATCATTGACAGTCGATTTACCTCACGATTAAATGTTTCAGGTTGTAAAACTTCTTTTAAAATTTCCGCAAATTTTCAACTTGAGCCAGAGTATTATAAAGATAGTTCAAGCGTTTTGGCATCTGGATCATGACGATTACGAAACCGCCTTGGAATCCATCCTGGACCCATCAGTGCTTGTAGAAGATTTACAGCCGTGGCATCACTCGGCGATGATGCGATCTCTACTTATGCAAAACCAGTCTGGTTTAGCTTTATTATATTTACAGGTATTCTTCCGTTTATAATGTTGCATTACATGTCTTAAACTAGAGTGATTATAGATTCGAAAACCTCCGATTCAAGAAGAAAAGGATCTTCTAACTGTAGTAAGCCTCCTTATATCCAAGAACATGTTGGATGAAGCTTTCAATTTCCGAGATCAGCATAAGGGTGAGTGCTTAGAATATTATGAGCTTTGTCGCAGCGAGATTTTCAACAAAATGTCAACTTAGGAGATCCCAAGACTTATACCGGGGTTATTTTTTGCTTTTCCATATTTGATGTAAACAAATAACAAGAAACGTACAGATGCAAACAACATATGAGAACTAAATCAAAAAATTATACAACAAAAAATAAAACAACAACTAAACTATTCTGTTTAAATGAGTGTGCAGTGCAGATCCACCTCCATTCGCTCGAGTTGCGAGCGGAGGGCATTTCCGGAGTGTCTGTGCCGGAATGGGAATCGCGACCCTGTCCCTGCATTTTGGACGATTGGGGGATGCGCAAAAAATCCTTTTCCGCTCAAATTCATTTCAGACTCGACTTTTCCCTAGTACCAAAAAAAATACTGGCAATTTTGATAAATCCAACTGATGCATTTGTCAAATGTTTTAATAACGAGCGCTCAAGCAAATATGGGTTTCCTCACCCTCAAGTTAATGTCTTTGATTTCGCGCGCTAACAAAGTTAAAATATTTGCTTAAACTATACAGGGTGGCTTTAAATTACGTTGCATAATTGTGACGTAATTGTAGTAGTTCAAGAATTGCACAATAAATGACTGAAACTCAGGAATTAATTTTGATTTGGAATTAATGAGAACATATATTCGCAAACGCTTTGTTTCGAATTGTCAAAAAGTTGATCCTTTTTTATGTTTGGATTTTTATTTGTATGTATCTTAAATTACAGCATTATTATTTTTGTTTTGTAGGAACTGCTGATGAATCTGCTTTATTAACACACATATTCAACGAATGCAATAAAAATGAGTTGCTTCATACGTTGTTGTATCGACGTTTGAACACAGACGAAGAAAGGGCATTTTTCAAATATCTTCAAGGAAACCGAAATCCTAAATATGAAGACCTGCAAATCTTCTACTATCTCCTTAGATCAAGATTTTTGGAAGCATTTGACTCATATTCCCTTTCAAAGCGAAAACAGCCAAGCCCTCAAGGTATTCAAAAAAAATAACTTCTCAATTGAAATCAACATCACAACATCTTGCAGGATTAATTGGCCAAAGATATGCTTCCACCACAGATAACGTTGTCAAGATGTTCAAAAATCTGCTGCCCGACGTAAACCGCAACTTGGTGGAGACTGTTCGGAAAGAACGCACCAATCTATGGAAGGAAGTACCTAGAGCAACGCCTTTCTCAGTTTTCGTTCACAATCCTAAAGACCAAATTCACTATAAGTCAAGTATAATTTTTGCAGCTTTAAGTAAAGCGAAACAAACTTTTAATGATGCAGCTGATAAAACCCGAATTGAAACTGAGGAAACCCCGTTTTTAAGAACTCCAAGGATGTTTTTAAGAAAATCGGTTGAACATACTCCCGTTTTCAAATGTCGAGTAAGTGCTATCTTATCTCTAGTGACTGAACGGACTTACTGTAAAATGCTTCTTGGTTTTGTTCTTGTATTATGAAACGTAGTTTTACTTATTAAGTCATTTTTTTAGGTTGTGAAACAGAAGGAAACGGGAGAATATGGGCCTTCTCCTCCTAAGAAATTTAAGCTTTCACCGCGCGCACCAATGGCGACACCGATTAAAAAAAATATGGATATTTCAAATTCTGTACAATCCAACTTTCATACACCACTTGTAAAAAGAAGGAGGACATCTCTCGAAACTACTAATACTCCGGCTATTTTGCCGCAAAGCATTCTAAAGACGAGAACGTTTCTTGAAGATAGTTTAATGAATGAGAATGGTTCGACAAATACTTCCTTAAAGTTGGACTGTGAGAATTCAGTAACGAAAGCTCGCTTTGCCCTTACTTCTAGAAAAGCTATTGGGTAAGTTAATTGATTGAAAAAGTATTATTTATATATTATGATTATTAGTTACGCCGAAATAATTCTGAACGCTTTATAACATAACTGCGTGAATTTTTCCGCGCGTAGTAATGGTAGTAGTAGGCTGCGCACGCACTTTCCACACTCCGCTTCCGCAAAACATTCCGGATCCATGAGAACCAAGCTTAAGAGTTTTCTCTGGTAGCGCACAAAAGTTTTCTTTTCATCCAAGAGATACTCCGGAAAAAACAAAAATTTTGTTTTTTGCACTCGGTGTCACTAAAAATGAACCCGTGGCGTGGCGTCGGTTTTGGTTATGTCTGCTATCGATCACACTCGGTCGATTTCTTTTTCCGTCCACTGAACCACCCTTGTATCGTGACGCACTCGTCGTCCCGCTCACCGTTAGTTTAAGGGTGCGTGCGAGCCAAAAAAAAATAATGGAAGAGTTCAGGAAGTTACGAGTTTATCGCATGCTTCACCACGCGACACGCTATTGCAAATTATTTTTTCCTGCTTATTCTCAATGTTTCATTTCAAAATATTTGATCTAAACTTTACGTATATACAGGATGATTCAAAATTGGTGTTATTTATCGGAGGGTATTTTTGGAGTACAGGAAAATAAGACAAACAAATGATTGTTATTAAAAACTGCGCTATTTGCAAATACCTACATCAGAAGGGCGGCAAGAATGTTTTTTTTTTCAACGTAAACTGCTTCATTAATATCACGTAAATACCTGTTGCATTTTAATTATCAAAAACTAGTAACTATAGATAAATAGAAAGTGCAAGTGATAACAATAAAATAGGGTTTGCATACGTTCTCACTTTGCCAATAATGGTGTCAACGTTTTTGGGGCAAATGAGTGATATTCCTTAACTCGCCACAATATCAACAAAAACCTTTTGTAAAAGGTTATGAATCAATGATCTATTTACAATTAAGTTGTTAACTCACAACAAGTGTTCGAAGTTCTGCCCGTTTAACTCCAAACATGTTTGTCGCCGTGTAATCACTTTATTGTACACCTTTCGCAGCATTTTGTACATCTTCTCGTATTCGATTAATCATCTCCTGCTCAATTTCTACCGGTGTTCTGTGTAATCATCCGAGTACTCCTTGAAGGCTCTGCTGCAAGTATCGTTAATAGGTATTCCTCTATATCTGGAACTCGAATACCTCTTGACCGTCCAGTATATGTATCAATTCCTGGAGCCAATCGTCCAGTGTCTCTAGCCTTTTGTTAAAACTAGTTCTGTGCTATGTTACTGTGACATTTCCCCATAACTAACAGCGTGTTCGCTTATTCGATATTAGGGAACATTTTGCGAAGAAAGCTTCAAACTAAACCACAATTTGACAAATGATTGTTATTCTTGACAAAATCTGTCTATCTGTAACTTCCTAATAATGGAATAATAATTCCTTTTTTACAAAGTTGAAATTCGATTTTCAATGTTTAATTAATATCTTCTAGAAATTTGCGGAAAAAAAATTTGCATTATTTTTCTGTTATTCTCCAAGCGAGCCTCTATAAGCCCTTAAAAGGAATGACGCCAATTTTGAATCTCCCTCTGTACCAAATACTTGCTTGAATTGGTATTTTTTTTTAAGAACTCCTTTGAAATCGCATGTAAAGTTTGACGATTTGCGTTACTCAACTAATTCTGAAGCCCCTAAAGAAAAGAGTTTGAGCCCTCAAGATGATGCGTCTACAAGCTTACGAGAAATATCCACAACTACTTTAGTAGAAACTAATGATTTCTATTGTCCGGACCTCACTTTAGAGGAACAAGAAAATTTAATTGCTGGTAAATGCAGTACTCCCTTAGTGAAGAGCAATACATCTACTAGGATTGGCCAGAAAGTTTTCGGACAATTACCCGAAGTTACTGTTAATATTGCCGGCAAAGCCAGCATTCCTATTGAAGAGAACGATCTATCAACAAATAGACTCAACTATCAAAGCCCAAAGGCTCGACGAAGTTATAAAAGTAATCTGACTTAATGTGAAAGCTTTCTAGCATTACAGTACATCTTTTTACAGGATCTTTTGGAGAAAACGTTGGTCCAGTTCGTACCAGTCCACGTTTAGCTAAAAAATTACTCACCCAGGAAGCCTCTACCACTTCACCATTGGAGTTAGTTCGATCTGCTAAGTTAAAACCGCGCAAATCTCTATCGAGATCTGTTTTGGAGCACAATGCTTTTTCAAAACTTAACGCTGATGATAGTATATT